ATATAAGAACTCATGATCTTGACAAAGAATCAGAGCAACAGCCGCATTCCAGGTATAAAAAGGCTACTGCTGGTCAGAAGCATGGCTTTCAGATTCAGAGTGTGGGGAACATAAGGAATCTCAGGTTAAAACAGTATCCCAACGGCTTTCTTCGGGTGTAGCTGACTGAAGACCGGAGGTCACTGAGAAGAGTTTATCTCATGATCAACTGTGATGCTTTGTTTCATTAGGCATGTATTTTACTTACTTCTTCCTTAAAATATTTACTTATAAAGTTCCAAATCCAGGTTAGTATGGGACAAAAGGAGGAAGACGGTGATTTATTTTATACACTCTATGGTTCAACACAAATGTACGTATGTTGGCACCTGTGCCCCAGAAATGACACACCACAGGCAATTAAAACAAAGTACACCTGTCTTATCAAGTCCTGATTTCCACATTTACCAACATTACGTCACCAAATGCGTCCAGCAGATGGTGCTCTAGGACACCTACTTCAGGAGACAAACGCTGTTTGTGTGACATCCACCTTATTTTGGCAAGACAAAGAATGGGGATTTATCAGTCGCTCAGTAAAACCTATTAGGCTTTATGATAAGAAGAACACTATCCCGAAATATGCACACCAACAGTATACATATGCATAAGACATGCACACAGAGCCAACCAGTTAATAATTCACCTGGACATATTATGATCCTACTTTTCTTACAGACTTGATGAGTGGTCTCTGTATGTATCAGTGGTATTTACGGTCATATGGCAAGATCATTCTAAATTCATTAAAAAAAAATTTAGAATGCCTTAAAGTTAGAATTCATTTTTAATTATAGCAGGAATGTCTCATTAGGGTGATACTAGTAAAATTAACAACAGTAGGATTTACGGTAATGACTTAAGTGATTGATGAGAGTATAACAAAATGAAGTTTTAGACAGAGAAAAAAAGCAGGGCAGCTATGGCATACAGTACTTTAAAAAACAGCTCTGTGGTGTGTTAGTGCTAGCCTATGGTTAATAAAAACTTCTTTCTAATTAACGGTGCTGAAATATTCTTAAAGAACAGAATCCTGGTGTTATGAAAAAAAAACTTAGTGGTTTTTTTTTTCACTAGACGCCATTCCCATAAAGGAGAAAGCTGACATAGATTAGCATGTCTGATTGCAAAGAGGGGAAAAAATGCCACCTTTCAATCAAATCAAAAACAGAATGTGAGAATGGAAAACTACTTTACTGAAATACTACACACACAAATCTATGAAACACCCTCACAGTCAGCAACCATTTGCTTCCAAAGCTAATCAACTGGCTTAAAAAAAATTACTCAGACACCTAAAAATGCTGAAGTACTTACTTTTAAAAGCTTAATAAGCATTTAAGTTGAAGATCTATTAATACAATATAAAAATAGTGGAAAAATAATTACTTTGTAAATTTTTATCATGCTTATCAGATCATTTCAAAGTTTTAAAGTAAATGTCAATCGAATGCACTGGGAAACATTTTCTCTAAAATTTGGAACTAGCCTTATTCTGAAAGAAAAAGGAATATTTTAGGAAAGGCATTTTGGCGTAGAAGAGTCAGTCCTAAAACGCACAGAGTACTCAGGCAAACAGAGATATACTTCCATGCGGGAAACATTTTCCATTGAAATGTTCTCGGTTGATTTCATTAAAAAAAATTCACAACTAAATGGAATCCTAGCTCAAGGTTCTTCTCATTGAGAAAATTGCTTTCTCAGGAGATAACAATCATAGGACAACAGAATCAAAAATGAAAACCTTTCTGTTATACAGGAAAACAAGGCTTTTGCCACATAATGTAGGCAGATTTCATAGAACATGTGCATTCTTTCATAAGCTCCAACTTATACTACACACACACACACACACACACACACACACACATAAAATTAGATTTCATCCAATTATAATTAGCATGATTTTTGCCCAAACAATGTGTATATTATTGGATACCATGATATAAAAAAATAGTAATAAAACTATCGATTTTACATATGGCACTAAGATTTGTAGAAAATGGTGTAGGCTTATCACCCCAGCAAGTGAAATTACTAGCTTATTCTCATAATTTTTGAAATAAAAAAACCAAAATACTTGAATGAAACCTATGAGAGGCAAAAAAAAACACAAAAAAACAAAAACAGCCTAGTTTTCTTTAATTTACCTATTTTCCCTTTAAGCAAGCAAAACATCTAAATTCAAAATTGTAAGTTGAGGGATACATGCATTTATGGACCGCTTTGCAATTATATGTATAAAAGCTTAACCATTCTTAAAGGTCATTTATACTGCATCCCACAGATACAAAATAGGAATAAGCACAGCCTAAAAGTCCTCATCTGAAAAGCTCTGACTTGAGCAGCTGCATCGTGGAGCCATCAATGAGCCAGAGGCTTATAAAATCCGAACCAGCTTGCGTGAATGTTTAAAACACACGGTAAAAACAATGTGTTTTTATGTCATTTTGTTTTGAAAAGCTTAAACCGGCTTGTTCATTCTTTTACTCGAATGTGTGGAAATTCTCATTATATGAAAAAAGTGTCTATTTGTCTTTCTCTTAGATTCACCCTTCAAAGCTAAAGCAAAATTAAATTGGGACATCAGATGTTAGAAAAGGGCCAGAAAGGACGGGGTTCCCTTTGAGAAAGGTAATTTAATTTAGTCAAGAAACATTACAAAAGGTATTATAAAATTTTTTAGAATTTGTATTAGATGTGCTGCTATGTTATTCTTTTTTTTCCTTTCCATTACCAGCACTACTAGGAGTTAATGTTCACCATACTGCAGACAATGAGAGGGTATAGATGAAGTGCGTTATGAAAAATATAACATTATAATATATGCTCTAATGCCAACAAGATGGTGTTTGTGTGGTGATTTATTTGCTCTAAGCATCCAGTGCTTCTGATAACATCTCAAGTCAGTTACTATTGTTGCTTTCATTTTGCAGACAAGACAGAAGAAATACAGCAAAACTTAGAACTTAGACTTGTTTTACTCCAAACTCCTGAATTTCATCAATCCTACTGGATTCATTTTTTTAAGAGGACACTCATGTAAAAATCATCTCTAGGGTGATTCAGAAGGTATTTAAATATGTATAAATCTATTGCTCCCTTCTGGAAAGGCTGAATATTTCTAGTTTTAAACTATACTTTATGTGAAATGTAACAGTTATGTATAAGTGTAGCTAATACGCCTTTATACACATTGGCAATGACATATATATGGAACATAATTAGGTTAAATAAGTAAAAAAAAAAAAACAAAACAAAAATTTTTTTTTCTTGTGTTTGGGTTGCTGTATGTGCACGAAACATCATACACTCCTTTAAGGCAAGTGAGAGTTCTTCCTAAATATTTTCACATAAATAACAAAATGGTGTACTTATTATCTATGTCAAATCTAGTTTTGTCTGAGATGATTTAGTGAATCTTGATAACTAGGTTTACAGACACAGAAAAAAAAGAAATTCAACGTCGTCACTCATCCTAAAAGGCCAGAAAGGAAAAGGAGCAGAAAGGAAGGGTCATGAAAAGAACGTGAAGCAATTTTCAAAAGAATGTGGAAAACAAAATCCCTGAAGTTCACACAATTTAACATTTTATAATTATATATAGCATGGATATGTGTGTGTACATGTGTGAAATACACACATGTACACACTCTCTCCCCATATAGACACACACTAAAGTTTGATCTGGTCACAAAGACTGTATTAAACATAGCATCGCAGCCTTAAAGCTACACACAGATAATTTGTATAGCGAATTATCCGGGCTTTGATTAAAATAAGAAATATGGACTAGAGGTTCACTGAATAAAAATTGTGTTTACCCACCACATCAAACAAAATACAAAGCAGAAACAGCCTTGATAAAATACTTTGCATATACTTTTTAAATTGTACTGGCTTTTGACTGAATTTTTTAAAAAAGGTTTCACTTTCATACAAATATTAAACATTTAATAAGCACAACTTTAAGAAGTCACGCCAAAATATGACAGACTTACACATATTCAGACTGTTTCATAATTTGGGGATGAGTGACAGAAGTACGTACCATAGGATTCAGGTAAAGTAATCAGGAACAACATGATCCTTCTTGAACCAAATATATTGCAACTTGCTTTAAATTAAGAAACTGTAAATATTTAAGAGCAGTTAAAAAGCTCTACCTTATGAAGTAAAAATCTAAAGCTATTCTTGCAGGAACTCTTCAGTGTTGTCATAATCATTTTAATTAAATTCTCATTTTTCAGGTGGTCCCTTTAATTGTTTTTTCCTACTTCTTAATGTGTTTTTCTAAAGCCGTTTCTTTTCTGCAGCTGTGTGCGATTGGTTTTAATGGTAGCTGCTTCCTTTTTTGCCTTCTGTGAATTACAATTTTAAATGGTTACACATTTTTTGTTTTACTGCCTTCAGCATAGTTTCATAAAGATGTTTAAGGCTGTTGGTGAACACTTTCATTTCCCATCTGAGAAACCAAGAGTCAATTTGAATATTCCATATTGGCCTTTTATGACCTGCTTTATCTTTTAATATGTAAATGAAAGCATATTTTTTTTTGTAAAGTGTGGTTTGTTTCCATGAAATTATAATGTTTTTGCTCTTTTAAAATAAGAATTCAATAAACAAGATGTGATTGCTCTTTTATGTTATATCTTATTGTGCGTGAATGAAACACCTCTATTTTATGTGATGACAGCTATTTCTAATGAAGAACTAGCATTTTCAGATCATAAGAATAACCTATCACATGAAAAATGAGATTTTTGTGCTTGGATTTGAATGATCCGTGGTCACAAAATGTCAATAACGAGGCTATCTAGATCTTTCTTAAATTATATCTAGAAAGTAAGACTACTTGATAATTCAGTTTCACTTTCACCATGATGAAAAAGATAACCTTACTGCAAAATGCTAGTACATATCACTTGTAAAAGTTTACTTCTAAAATACATTGTACTTACTGCCTGGGTTATCTCCAATCCCACTGGTTTTTCCATTCCAGTACCAGAGCAGAAGGGTTGCATCACGTGACCCGGAGAGAATGTAACAATTTCCCCCAATGTACGACTCAGAACGAGTGAGGCAAGTGACAACATCCCAATGGCCAAACACCACTTGGATCAATTTTCCTGAAACACAAAACAATTTTCTTTAAAATGGCTATTAAAAGAATTCCAGTGACCATTTAACTAATGAGATAATAAAGCCGGATTAACTCAGATTCTGATAATTCAGATTTTACAATAAAATTTGACCTGATCCAACCTAAAAGTTTTCCTTGAATAGTATGTTCTCACACACACACACACACACACACACACACACACACACACACATCAAATGAACAATGATAGTAACATTTTTGAAAGGCAAAAGCTATTTCAACTCAAATAATATTTGAAGACCATAACACTGGATACTATAAATTACAAATGAATCATGTCTACTGACCAAAGCAGGCCCAGGAGAACCCTTATTTGGAACCATTTCTTAAATCACTCCGTATGATTCAAAACAAAACAAAACTTAGTTGCCTTTCTGTAAGTACTCTACAATTCAGACTTAACTGTAAATACAAACGCATCTCTGAATTAGTAAAGATTTAATGTATTTTTTCATCTTCCCCATTTTAGGTGATCTATACAAGGGCAATAGAAGTCACTTTGGAGAGCTTCTGTTTTATTAAATCGGAATTGCATGAGCCAAGTCATTCTTTCTTTGTTTTAATTGTCTGAAATGATGAAAATTCCTTCGGGGGTGATGATGAAATTATGGCAGCTTATCTAATGGTAATGACTGGGGATGGTAGGAAGGAACCCGGTAAACTCACTCTGTATCTAGGGCTTCAGTCACAAGATGAATTGTTCACATAATAGTGTCAGAATAAAAGTAAAGCCTCCACCTTTTAGAATCTTTGTTTAATCAGATATGGTGTTTATAATTCACACAAGCTTGTCTAAATACTTAAATACTGTAGCAGCCCTTCTCTACAACTTCTAGCTAGCATTTTCCTTTGAACTGTCCACAGAATCCAAAAATGAATGTGACAGAATATCTACCCTTACTAGTCATCATGAGTTTCTTTTATAAGTGTTTCGGTGGGGTCACAAAAAATATAATTCAAATGTTTAAGGAAAAAAGACGATTAAGCTGTAAAAAATTAATATGCTTAAAACGTTTGTGTGTTTAACATGGAACATATCATAACCTGTTTAAAAGTTAAGGTTTCCACTAAGTGTATTATATTTAACTTTTCAAGATAATACTGAATATAATTTTAAAAATTTAAATTGTTTTAATTTTTTTTTTAATAAACCCAAAACTTATAATAAATGATGCAAATTTAGAAAAATACTGAACTATACTTTAAATCAGATGGCAAGTCTAATACAATGTATTCACTCTTGCACATAGACGACTACTAGTAACTTTAAAATCAGCCTCATTTCAATCTCAAATTGCAAAATTAATAAAGTACATTTTTTTCTCCTGTGACTAAAAACTTTAGTCAAAGCTGGTGTTTTAACTGCAAAATGTTACAAATGTTCACTGAATCTCTTGAGCCTTTAAAACTGGTATCAAAACCTTTCATTTTAAACGTTAGCTATGTCAATAAGAAAATGTACGAAGAATTTAAGGCTTCCTAGAATAAAACACGGAACAGAAGAAGAGCAAATTAAATATGAAAAGATGTAATAATTTTCACATCATTTCCATTTTACATGCAGAACAAAGTGGAGAGGCTTCGTGGTAAAATGGGTGTGGTTACATTAGAAGCCTTATGAAAGATAAGAAAAAAGTTAGGTAGCTGAGCTCACTTCACAAATTAGAAAACTGAAGGTTAAAATCAGTGACTTTTACCTTCGGAAGGAAATGGAACCAACATACTGTGATGATGTTTTTGATCACAGAGTGTGTACTGTGACTCAGCCTGTACCTAAATGCTGAGTGCATGCAAACTAGAGGAGTGATTTAAGTATGTTATTTACAGTAGGCTTATTTAGGATTTGATATCCATCAACTCAGTGGGTTGTCGAAGTGAGAGTGAGCAGAATAACTACAGCTAGATACGTGAGGCCCATGGCACAGAGGCAACCAGGAAGCTTGCAAAAGAGCAGCTATTCACTTGGTACCTTGCTTAATCTCCAACTCATGTGAGGAAAAGTGGAAAGACTGATCTGTCAAAGTAGGATGGGTTGAAGTGAGTGGCAGACTTATCCAAGCTTCATTTATTCATTCTCATTAGTTAAGTCATCACTCTGTATCTACAACCTCAGTGTTAGAAAAATATATACGCAAGTCACTGTGGTTGCTTTTGTTAACTAAAATTTCCTAGAGTTTTAATTTTCATCCAAAAAGTTATCACAATTATTTTCCATTCAACAAACACTTACTGAGCACCTACTAAGTGCCAAGCATGACGCCTTCCTACATCTACATAGTGGTAAACAGACATGGCACATAGACGTGACCCCTGCCCCCAGAGTATTTACTGTCTGTTCGGCAGACAGACATTAAATGAACACAAACAGATATATGATTAGGAATAGTGACTTAACTATTATAAAAGTACATAGTAGAATCAGGGAGGAGAATAAGGTAGAATAAATTTAGACTGGGCGTCAGGGAAGGCTGAAATGAGGGGGTGTGACATTTAAGTATATTTACATCCAAAGGGTTTCATATTTTAATACAGATTAAATTTATCCTCTACAATTTATACTTTGGGCTCAACTCTGGAAAACATTATTTTTTTGTTTACTTGTCCCTGTTCCGGCAGCCTTCCTCAGCGATATTTGTTATTGCTGTGAGGTTGAGGTTCACTCCTCCTAAATAAATCACAGCATATAAAGACCTGCTGCTCTTTTGGTAAATTATTTTCTGATAATCTCGTAAGTGTTCCTCAGCCTTTATTTTTCGTTTCCTTTAATTCCAGTCCACCTCTCCACACACTAATATCAAGTATTACCGCAAGCACTAGAATATCCCTTTTTTGACAGAACAAATTTTCTAGTTAATGTTTTATTTGACAGCTGTGCTACAAATAAAAAAAAAAATTCAAGCTCAGGACTCTGCGCCACTGAATCTAAAATGTGGCCTGAAAATAATTCCCACCACCGAGGGAAGGGTTTATTGTTGTCTCTGCTCTTCAGCTTGTGTCCCGAAAACATGATTTATGTTAAAAGAATTTCCTGTTACAACCGTGTTTCTTCCCTGCCCCCTCCCAAACCTAATAAGGATTTTATTTTTTGGGGGGTAAGGGGGAGAGCTTGTGTGCTAAAATATAATTGAGTTCAACACTTGTGATAGCTTTGCCATTATATATTATTGATCATACAATTTCCCTCTTGCTTCTCTGCCAAACTTAGAATGTATTTAATAGTCCTATTGTCATAAAAACACAAACGCATACTTTCCCTAACTGAAATTATTTGAAATAAAACTAGCATGAGAGTTTGAATACAAGATATTAAGAAAGACAATAGGACTATCATTTGAGACTTTTTTTCACAACTTTTCTGGCATTTATAAATATTTTTATTGGACAAGCCAAGTCAGTTCCATTAAAGTGATGTTTGAAATAAGACTACTTCTTTTTTTTTTTTTTTTTTTTAAAGCTGAGCCATCCTGCTACCTATTGGCAGCTTAGTGGCAGCTCAGTTCGGGCCGGGCATCGAACCGCTGTTGCTCAGAGCTCAAACTCTTGAGCGAGCTCTTAACCAACTGAGCCACTCGGCCGGCCCCAAGACTACTTCTTAATGAAAATGTTTTACACACACACACATTTCAAAAAACAATGAAGTAGAAGGTTTTTGGAAAGAGGATAAGAAATGTTACGTAGTTTATTAAGTCTAATGTAACATGGCAGACATACTAGGAATTTAGTGTTGTAAATTACAGTGTTTTCCAAATTAACCAATGATTGACAGGTAACACCTGTATGCAATGATATGGTATAACCACAGAGAACGCTATGTTGGAAGTCAGAAGACCTGGCTCTAATGTCCAGCTCTATCACCATTATCTATATAAACTCCAACAAGTCAACCTTTCGACACCTCAGCTTCATCAGCTGAAAAACTGGGATAAGGGCACTTGCTCTGTCTATCTCACAGTTATTGTGAGGCTGACACAGTATCATGTATGTGAAAGAATTCTGTAAATTCTAAAGAACTCTATGTGAGTGTGAGAATCAAAAGTGAGGATAGCTTTATTTTACAGATATTAATATTCACTGCCTTTTAAAAATGATATGGAATGACAACAAACTCCAAATCCTGAAACGTCAAACAAAACCAAAGACTAACATAATATATAATTCCACTTATTTGACATTCTGAAAGAGGCTAAATTGTAGAGATGAGGAATAGGTCAGTGGTTGCGAAGAGGTTGAGGTGGGAGAGGAAGCTGAATTTCTGGGGTGACATTTTAATTGTGGAGGTAGTTATGTAACTCTACACTACCCAAACTAATGGAACCATTAACCAAAATAATAAATTTTAAAGGACACAAATTTCAAAATAATTTTCAACAATGAGTAAAAAAAAATAAGCAATCTGAAGGAATGTTTAAGAAAATCTTGTGAGCGTATAAAACAATTTTAATCTGAAAATTTGTGCAAAAAATGAGGCACAATTTGAGGTCAAATAATGCTAAGGTTGTCATTACCAAAATAGTGAAAGAAAAGGTTAAAATTTAAATTTGATTATTAAATCAGAAAAAAAGTTCATTATAATAATAAATATATTTCAGGGAAACTTATCAATCCCATTGCATTGTTAAAGAATTCTAGAGGAGTTTTAGGTTCAACAGCAATCAACCTAATAGACCTAAACATGTAGTAAGAGCCCAATTAAACAGAAAGGCTTGAATGATGATGTTTTCTTTCTGGACCTAAAGAATTAAGATGTAAATTATATATTAAAAAAACTATATCACCAATTCCCTAAAACAAAAAATAAACAAGATCATGTCTACAAACAACTTCTGGGGTTTATTTTATGAACGGTACATATTCAACTATTTTCCCTACTCTCTCATAGCTACGTTACAACACTGTCATCAAAATACACTTAGGAGAAACTCCTTGAACAACCAACAATTAATTTTTCCATACACTATATTTATGAAGGCAGGAGCAGGGACTCAAACATCTTATAAAGATTATTAACAAGGCTGAAAAATTATTTACTGTAAAACACTTAATAAACTAGAAATTTCAATTAAAACAAATTTCCTATTCCCACAACATTTAAATTTTTTGTTTCCTATTCCCACAATATTTAATCAAGATATTTGTAAAGCCTGGCTTTTGTTGAAATATCTATTTCCACAGTATCTATCAAGTTCTAATGCATTAATATCTAATTTTAATTATTTTAAATATTCAGCTACATATTTACAATAAATCTATTTAATCCTCTAATGGTGTCTAAAATACTTTGAGATGCCATTAAATTTTTCAATGTTTCTCATTTTCCTATACACAGAAATTTATAAACATTTACTAGATTGGATCCCCTGTAATAGTACTGAGTCGAGCTTGGTTTGTCCTTAGGGGTATGATTGCAAAGGAATATACAGACTTAAATTTTTATATTTTAAAAAGAGCTGTCACATAATATCAGCAGTCAGCTATTTTCTTTATGATGGTGTAGCTTTCAGCAAGATTCTATGCAGAAATGGGTGGAGGTCTAATATCTATCCCCAAGAAATACACTTAATGAGAATTTCCATTAAGGAGGAAATACTTTAAATAACACAAAAGTGGGGAAAATACACCTACATGTGTGTGCACTTGTCATAAGATTATGCATATACATGTGGATATGGTATTTACATACCAGCATCTGGTTTCAAAATGAATCATTCATTCTATAAGCATGAGGCTTGGGCGACAATCTATAAAACACTGCCTCTTAAAATCATACTGAAATTAAATCTGTAGTGGACTATATAGATTATTACTTGAAATGGAAAAAAAAGTCTTTTCCTTATTTTATAAATTTTAGAATTCTGTAATGTTTAGAAGGAAGAAGATGAGAAAGCGTGCTAAGTCTCTCAGTGGTACTTGCCGTAAACTTGACTTCCCCGAGGAAAGAAGTGACCATTACCTGTGTCTGTGGAATAGACTCGGAAACTCTTATCCCAGAAGCCACAGATGAGGATGTAACGGTTGTCTGAAGTGATGACAAATGTCTGGGAATGGACTTGAATACTTTGGTCTAGAAGGTCAGTGATTTGTCTCCTGTGCATTCCCGTGTTGCTGGCTATGGGAATAGAGGAAGAAAAAAAAAAAAGCTTACTAAACCCACATGGGCAAAGAAATGCTAGTGTTTGTCATCCTGGGGGTGGGGGTGAGGGAAGAGAGGTGGCACACTGCAGGGTAAGACTATGTGATCTTTAATTTTAAATACAGTAATATTTGAAACACCATACAAGGAAACACATCTGATTGTTGGAAGAATGTGGATCGCTAAATTCAACATCTCGGTAAGAAATTTTGCCTGGAGGAAGGAAATAATAGCATAGTACAATTTAAAAATTGCATACGATTCTCAGAGCATGCTTTTCTAGCTCTTGGGCAGGACCAAACTAGATTACAGTCTCCAGATTGCATCAGTTAGGTTTGTGCTTCTGACAATCTCATTACATCTATTGCCATGAGAATGGATTCATGTTGTGACAATCTATTACTTTTAACTTTTTTTGTCACAAGGAAGAGATGTTAGGATTTAAATGTCATATAGTTGAAATGCTGTAGCATCTTGTACTACTCTGGCCGTAACAGGTCTCTAATTTGACTAGATGTGAACTCCCGTTTTCCGTTTACAGCTGCACTTACACGGAAGGAGAGGGTGGAATGACTGTTTATTAAAGATGCTTGTAATTGGAAAAGTCAAAGCACAGCACACTGTCACTTTCCTTACTCCTCATGTAAGCAATAAAACAGGACAGCCTGGCAGCGTGTTCCCAAAGTGCTACAGAGCACCTGAGGTGGGGCTTGTCTCAAGGCCCAAGGTCAGGCACAGCCCCACCTCAAGCACGTGGACAGAGGAATAACCCTCTAGAAATACACCACCAAGTATGGCATTATCAGAAAAGGAATTGTCACCGAGATGCCTTTTTTGGCATTATGAGGCCAACAAAAGAGAAAGCTTTGCTTCTAGTCATCGAATGGGTATTTCACACCAACTTTCCAATACGAATAATGGTTCTTCATGTTGCTAAAGAATTTGGATTGTACCAGATTTTGGAACAAACAAAATTTCTGCATCTGATTATTATGTGCTTTGTAACATAGTCTTCAGTTTAAAAAACAAAACAAAACAATTTAAATGCATTACTAAAAACAATGAAAAATAAGAAAACATCTATACTATAGTCATTGTATATAATAACTAAGTTAATGTGGCCAATTTAACAGAGAAGACTCAGAAAGTAATACAGAAGGAGAAAGTATTCACGCTACTCCCCAGTGCTCCGCTGGGACCCACTAGGGCCACCAAGGAACAAAATGTCCCCTGCCCTCAGCACATATCCAACACAGCAAACATACTCACACACATATATGAGCACATGTGAAATACCGCAAATTCTGCTAATGTCTGAGTACACAACTGAACGTGTAAGATTGTTAGATAACTGTTTGATAATAGGCTTCATGTACTTTTGGGGGGTTAATGGGCTAGAAAGTGACAGCAACAATAAAAAGGGCAGAATTCCAGTTTGGGGTCATTTCCAGCTTCCTTCCACACAAAGGGAAGTTCTTGGCAGATGAGAAAAAAACTTTTATGGGCATCATAGTGTATCACAGAGAGATTTTAGTATCCACTGCAGTGAAGCTGTGTGATACAACTCAGTTGTTGCTTTTTTCATTCTGAGAAACCTAGCAATTAAAAATAAGGTATGTGGTATTTTCTATACTGGTTATTACAGTAATTTGTTCCACATCAAAATTATAAATATATTAATTTTTTCACTTTTTATATGACTTTTGCTCCTATGATTTACTTGCGCACTGGTCCTTTGTTTTGGTGTGATCTCTAGTTCCACAGATCTGGGCATGTGCATAATTTCAAATTGAGTGACCACAAAGTACCCATGGGTAACGGCTGACGTCCCTTCAGCACTCAGATGAACTATTTTCTAACTAAGTGCTTACTTGTAATTTAACACTACATCTATCTATCTATCTATCTATCTATCTATCTATCTATCTATCTATCTATCTATCTATTTATCTATCTGATCTAATCTATGCAATCTACCTATCTCACAACTGCCTTTCTTTTATCTCATTTTTTTCCTCTGGTAAACCTCCTGAGATTCAGTAGTGAAAGTATTTTTATTTAATGAAAATTAGGTATATTTATCTAGATAAGCAGTGTTCAAACTGGAGCATGCTTATCCCTGGTGGGGATGGTGGTGGTAGGGGTGTGTGGGGGTGTGTTAAGATTTCCCAAGGGGTACACAGGCACAGATGGTTTTCAGGGAATCAATTTCTAGCTCCTCAACTTTCATATGTTCTCCTGCCGGAAATACATTTGCCTGAGAACTCTCCCATGAGTTTTCCTTTTTAACCATCCCTTTCTCATGCTCCTTTTCACTAGATAAAATAAAGGCATATTTCTCTCCTATCCAGAATCTTACTATGGTGCTTGACCTCAGGGTACAAAAATCTTCTAAGAGCCAAATAAAGGGACTATTCAAAATACTAACGTGATGCTGAAAAGTGAATGCCTAGGTATCAAATAATTCTGCAAGGCAGGTGGTTTCCAATTCATTGCTTTCAATGAAATAGAAGGAGGCTGTAATCAGGCTGTCAACTGATAGATCATTAAAAATAAGTTTCAATGACAGATTGTTAAAATGATCATTGAATGATAGACCACAAAAATAATTCTTAATAGCTCACTATATGAATTTTGTCATGAAACCCAGAAAGAAAGAGTTCAAAGATTTGAGTGACATTGTTAAAACTCTTTCTTTTCCCATTTATTTTCGTATGTGAGTGACATTCCTGAGCTTCCATCTATAAAAAACAAAATGATAGGATAGAACTGTTGACAAATCCTGTCTCATTTAGCAACAAATAATGTTCATCCATGAATCTAGGAGCTGTTTCATTAAAGATTTATTTCTAGTAAATATTTGTTTTTTAATAATGTTTATTAACATTTATGATTTTTAATCATATAAGCTAAAATTGTGTAAGGGAAGTCGAATGAAAATACACATTCAAGATGGAAAAGGAATAATATAAAATTTTCAACTGTTAACGGCTTTTTAATGCATTTTTAAAAACAAAATGTTGAGCATCAATTCCCTTTGATATTTAGATTCCATTGGGTATATTTAACATTTTATATACTATGCCAGAAATTATAATCTTTGCAACTATTTAAACTTGTGATGAAAACTTTCAGATGTTAACTTAAAAATGTGTAGGAAGGTTTATGGTTTTGAACAATTATTTTAGGGGATATACGTAAGAGCAAGCAATCTGATGACCACTGATTTAGAGTAGGGAAGGAAACCATGGCCGCAGGCCAAATGTGGCCTGTGCCTGATTTTGTATATAAAGTTTTATTGTCACACAGCAATGCTCATTTGTTTATATATTGTCTATGGCTGATTTTGCGCTATAATGGCAGAGTTAATTAGTTGTGTCTGATATCTTATGGCCACAAAGCCTAAGATATTTACTACCTGGTCCTTTACCAAAAGAAGTTGATCCATGACTGCCTGGTCTAAAGGGTTACAACTGCTGAATTCATTTAATTAGACCTTATAGAATATTCATTGTCAAGTTTTAAGGCAAACAATAAGTCTATACTTCAGAAATAATGCTTTAAATGACTTAGCAAATGGGCTTTATTATTTTCCTGACTTTTAAAACTCTACCAAAGTGAGCATTTTTTTTTTTAATATATGGCAAAGCATAGCTACTCAAAGCAAAATAAGATTTAGGAACAAAAGTAGTATTTATCCTAGATATAGATTTACTTCTTAAATTTCTGCTTATATTTGGGGAAATGATAAATGAAGTAGTTTTCAGCTTAAGGTTCTTTTAGCTCATCTTGACAATTCATCTGCAAATGGTGGCAATTTACCTGTCTATTGAAACAATGGTTTTAAAGACAAAAAAGGTGACACTGGGACACAGAGGGAACATCTTGAATTTTAAAATAATAAATCAGCTTACTCATATGCTTTATTTAAAAACTTCAAAACTCTAACAAATTTATTTGTGCCAGGAAATTTGACAAAATCACAATCCAGACATCCATGCTAGTAGCATACACCTCGAGTTAGGCAATGAAGTGTTTTATCCTAAAAGTTACTGAATAGCATATTTAATATCAAGGCTTAACATTCTTAGTGAAGCCACATTGGAAATCCTCAGCCATAAAAATGAAACATGCTAAACTAGAGACTTCAACTAACCTATTCCAAAAGTGTAACAGCAATTAAATATTCTAAGTCTTCCCCTGCAGGTGCTCATTTCATCCCAGTGGCTCTTTCTGGGCTCCTCCCTTCCCCTCCCCCATCCCCCCCCAAACAAATTTAACCTCCAATGGCAATTTATTGGGCTGTAGGACCCTAGGAAAATGAATACAAATATCTTAACACTGCCATTGGGAAGGCAATATATTTCAACTTTGAAACTGCTCTGCAATTGCACATTAATTCCCTCAGACTGAACAGAGGGTCCAGGAAGAAAGGATTGATCTCCTTTAATGATGAAACCCTGGCACTACAGTTTTATTTTTCACAACACAGTGCTGCTGAGAACCCCACTGTTATTATGAAAATTTCCCTAGCAAAGGAGCTCCATCACATTACTGGTGCACCAATTCATCACCACGTGCCTCTCTCCTGCTCATCAACAAGTCTGAGTGATGAAAAGATCCAATATTATCCTGACAGTACTTCATGCGCATTCTCAATCACACATTATTACAGCATCCATATTAATTTTCAGTGACACGCGTCCTAGGCCTGTTCAAATTAGGCAAACCAACGAGGGGGAGTTGATGAAATACCAGCATAGCCACAGCTCATTGCATTCCAATTTGCATGCAAATGGTTTATCAGGAAAATTCCATTCCCAGCAACCAGCAAGTGAAAAACAAGTGTAATCTACACTTCAGGGCCACCATACAGAGCTTAATGAATCGCAAAGAGAGAAGGAAGTGACAGACCTATGAGAGGATCGATTTCCACTGGCAGCTGGTATGGCTGGTCTTGTACGGCACCTTGATGAGCTGGAATGCACAAAAGATGGAAAAAAAAAGCATTATTTTTCATATACAAACTATATAAAAATGCATAAGTCAAGTCTTACGTGGAATTGTTTCCAACCTCTGAATCTCTCATAGAGTTTTGTGAAATTTAAAGAAAAAAAAACATCCAGGTGCTTTTACGGCTGGCTTATTAAACATTTATTTTAGATTAGTGCTGTTCTGAACATGTGCCATGAGCAGTGGCTCCAGTCCTAGGCCATAAGCTATAGCAGATGCTTGACTGGCAACCTCTGATGCTGCAACAAAACAAAATTAAGTGGTAAAGCGCGCTGAAAACAAAATGTGACAACCATCTGCTGACTGTAGCAAATACTATTTTTTTGGTTACTTCTTTAAAAGGCCGTTCTGAATGCTGCAGCACAAAGGATCCACAAAAACGTCAATTTATGATGGAGAAAGGGAAGGCTCCAAGTCAGGGAACATTTAATGTTCCATCCATCACGGAAAATCAATCAATTGAAAGTTTGAATAAAAATAAAGAAAGCTATCCACAGATAAATGTTTTAGTTAAATGCCTTTGACTGAAATATTCTCTTAAAGGTTTGATTGAGGTTTTTTTTTAAAGTTTTATTAATATTTAATACATCCATGGTTTCTATTTAAAAATACCCTCAGAAGCAAATGAGTAACAAAAATCAATGCATACTAAGAATAGTTTGTTCAGTTCTCAAAATGATTGCAAAGATTCAGGCACACTTATATTTTGTAACTGAAGAGAGGTTTTGTAGGCTGCTTCCCTGTGAAAGGTGGAAGCCGTAGGTACAGAGGAAGTGTCCCAGGAACCAGATCTGTCGCTGGCGCCATGCAACCTTGGGCAAATCATAAAGCCCAAATGAACGGTTTGGAATAGATGATCTTTTCAGCTTTATAATTCTGGTAGTTACATTCTGGGCCCTTTTCCAAATTATTCCCCCCAAATGACTCAGCCATTCATCCTGGTCAGTACCTGCCTTTTATAGACTCATAAGCATTTAAACTGCTTGGTTTGTATCAGCTCTAATACGACCAGATTTTAGAAAATTTTTCTGACTGTCCTAGAGGGGCTGAACATAAAAATGGGTTACATTCCAATGAGTTCATTAGATTATTTTAAAATTTACTATGTCATCGTTTCCCCTCTTAGTAAATACAAACTCTTCACGGACATTTGGAAGACAAAGTAACTGATCAAATAACTAAGTACAATATTAGCACTAACAATATAGCTGAGTTTTATATGAAATTAAAGTAGCTGAAGAAAGGAAGCCACATGACTCGCTCTTTCTCACTAAAGGTATTGTTCTTTGCTGATTACTGGCTCTGCCAGTGAAGAAATCACAGGACACATACACGGGGTGCTCAGGGAAAACGGACCATAGCTTCTCATTTACCCCACAGTATCTGGGATCATAGAAACACTGAAACCAAACTGTCAGTGAGAGGTTTAGGTCCTGCCTCAAATCCCAGTTCTGCAGCTGACTGCCTGTGTGACTTTGGGCAAGTTAGGTAGTCTCCGGGTTTCAGTTTCCTGATCTGCATAATGGGTGAGATGGGTTAGGTTCAAACACATGCAATTACCAATACCTGACACTTTGACTGATAAAAATGGCAATTTTATATGGTTTAACCTAAATAGAGAGCCTATATCCTAAGGTTGTTGAGGGCATTCAGTGAGTTAATACATGTAACATGATTAGAACTGTATTCAGAACCCAGAAAATGCTCTACAAACGTTAGCTGTTATTATAATTTTTTTTGGAGGTTGTACAAGGGCATGTGAATAAGAAAGAAGGATAAACATGAATTTTTTTCTAAACAGGACTCAGACACTACTAAAAAAAAATGACAGGAGTTATCACTAATGAAAAAGCTGTGGAAATCATAGACTCTCAGAAAATAACCAGAATCTAAACTAAAAAAAAGAAAAAGTGTAACATGAATTAGATATTCACTGAGGAAAAACTGTTAGGGCTTTTTGACATTTGTTTTAAATCAAGGCATACTGACAGGCAAGGGCAGCACAAGATAGAATGAAAGGTCAGCTTTATGTAAATTACCTTAATTGAAGCATAGATTTAATAAAATAGATGCTTAATATTTTTAGACGTAGGTGTAGGTGTAGCTCAGTATTGGAGATCACATTGTAGAACAGTAACCATACCTGCATTACCATGTTATCATGCTTTGTATTTATCTGGGGAAGAGTTGCTGTGTCATACTGTAAAGCCAGAGGGCAAGGACAGAAACCACTAGTGACACAAGGTACAGATTCAAAGAAGCCTCGCTGGGGAGAATGACAGGCAAACAACTGGCAAAACATATGCAGTCCCCTAAGCGCTTGTCTTACAGAAAGGTGAGCTTGGGCTGGTGACAGTGGATGGGTGGTAAGTGGTACTCCAGCAGAGGGACACTACCCCTAAATCACGTTACACATACGAGGTCGGACAATTAAGTTAGTGAACTTGTTGCAACGATGTTGCTAACCTTTTTTGATATCAGATTATTCACTATGAATTTGTACCAACTGGATGAACAGTTAACCAAGTTTACTATTTGGAAGCGCTGAAAAGGCTGCGTGAAAAAGTTAGACGGCCTGAACTTTTCTCCAACAATTC